CATTTGTCAGTTGGTGGGCATTTGGATTCCTTCCAAGATTTAGCTATTACTAAATAGCTATATACATGGGTGTGAATGTATTGCTGTGGTATGATACTTTTAACTCTTTTTGGCACTTACCAAGAACGGGAATAGATGGGTCAAATGAGACCGCTAACCCTAGTTTATTTAGGAATCTCCGCACTGATTTCCACAGTGGTTTCACCAGTCTACACTGCCACCAATAGTGGAGAAGTGTTCCTCTTTCTCCACAGCCCCACCACCATTTGTTATTGGTTGATTTTTTTAAATAACAGCCATTCTTTCTGGAGTGAAATGGAATCTCAGTGTTGTTTTAATTTGCAACTCTCAAATGATCAGTAATGTTGTACATTTTTCATGTATTTATTTGCCATTTATACTTCTTCTGAGAAGTATCTATTCATTTCAGATTCCCTCCTTTCTATTTTTATATTGTCTATTTTTTCTTCAGATTCCTCATAAGAGAGAAATATGTGACAATTTTCTTTCTGATTTTACTTAACAGGATGCCCTCTAGACAAAGAATAAATGTTTCAAGGATAGTAGCCAAGAATTTCCCAAAATTAATGCAAAAAAAAAAAAAAAAAAGGATTCCAAAAATGTCAGAAAAAATCTCAGCAGAATACTTGTAAATACATCATGGTCAAGCTGCTATACATCCCAGAGTAAGATAAACAGAACAAAAAAAAATGTTAGCTATAGAAAAATGAAGAATGACAGCAAACTTCTCAGTCAACATTTTGCAAGCCAAAACATGGAAGGCATATTCATAACGCTAAAAAGGAAAAACAAACTTACAAATACACACAAAATCCTATCAACTGAGAAGGTTATTCCAATTTGAAAGATTTTGAAAAAGTTTCATAAATAACCACGAAATATAGACTGTTTGGGACAAGTGAATGTCAAGAGGTTTCATTTCCTGAATCTTTTTACTATTAGACATCACAGGATAAATTTTAAAGATAAAAGGAATAATATCCAGTATTTGACGAAGAGTAGAACAAATGTGAAAAGCGTACAGAAACATGTAAGTGGTCCTTTTCTCATTTCATTCTATCTGAAGAATAATTACATATAAGACAGAAGGAGCATATGCTGAAATGTATTAAAAATGTGACATAAACTAATATATGGCAATAATAACACAAAGGCGGAAGGAAAAGGAGCAGAATCTTACATTACGTGCATAGTGGTAAAATATGATTTGAAGTTGACTCCGATAAATCAAAGACATTTATTGCAAACCTCTGTAATCCATTAAGAAAAGAAGTGTAGCGAGTAATCCACTAATTATTTCCGGGCTATTTTAATCACAGCAAAGCTGTCAGATGATGGCCCAGTGGGTGAGCAGTTCCGCTGCCCCCAGGTGAGTAGTTCCAACTGCACAGGTTCTAGCAGGTCCCACAGGATCAAGGCCCATTGTGCACAGCATCGTCCTGATCACAGTGTGCAATTATCTGTTCTGCTCATTCTCTCTGCTTCCTTTCCTAGGTTTTTTTCCCCTATGGCTCCTTGTCTATGACCAGAGGGAAAAATGTCCTAAAAGGGTCCAAGCAAATAGCTTCCCTGTGTATAAATAATTGCAGAAGTGCTTATTCTGGTTAGGATCCTGAGCATAATTGAGGCAGTTACTGAGAAATAGCGTCACGATTAGTCATCAGCATTATCCTTGCCTCTAGCCTGCTGGAAATGGCCTTTATCTCCATGATAATATATTCTGTCTTGTAGGGAACACTGTTCTTGAATGACTCATCTCATTTTTTGTCTCTTCAGGGATGGAAGGTAATTACTAATACTTTATTTCTATGAGACAAACATGTTGTATATCTTTAGAGACTTCATCCTTGTCTTTGGGGCTTCAGCAGAGTCAAAAATTAAATTATAGTCCATTTTTAAGTACTATAGAATATGAGGGAAGACAAAAGCAAAACCTTAGGTGTGCCTTTTGTTCCCCCTAAAGAAGACTTGTTTTTTATTAAATGTGAAAAAGATATGACCCTCCTGCCCCCAAGTAAATCACACATATAGCCAGACATTCCATGGCAAGCACCAAAGATGCCCAATGTATCTTATAGACATGTAAATATGGTTATTCCATGTGCACAGCATTTATCACCTTTTTCCAAGTGCAAACTATGCTTAATTGGGTATAAATTGATCTTGGCAGGAAGATACGTACATACCATCATCATTTTTTGTGGAAACTTCAGTAGGCCCCTACTGGGTGCGGCCTGTGTCACTTAGCCAACTTTTCAGGGCTGGAAAGGTAGGTAGTTCCTAATTTGGACTATCATGATTAACAGTCCTGAGTAAATAAAAATATAAAATCTTTCCTTTACAAGCTATTGGATCTCACATAATGTAAGTATGTATGTGTAAGGCATTACTATTTAATAAAGTCCCTCTGGGGTTAATTCCTGCAGGTTGTATATGAGCCTCACTGACTTGGTCTTCCTGCCTCCATTCCTTCAATTGCAGCTCCTTGTATTTGCCAGAATAAGCACCCAAGCAAATGAGAATCTCTCACCTTCTTACAATCCCTCATCATCTCCTCAGCAGTCAGGAAGAAAATCCTGTGCCCCTCAGGAAGCAAACCCAGCTCCACCTGTGCTCTGGTGCCAGCTGCTCGTGAGCTCCCTCAGCTGCTGTCACACCCAGCAGTCAGTGATTTAGGGTAAAACCCAGTTTTGTCTTGGAGGTCTGGAAGTCTGCTGTGGGCCACACTGTACTGAGAGCAGGGTGTGGGTAGCAGGGGGCGTCCTCAGGCAGCACTGTGGAGACCTGCTTTCCTGCTTTGTAGAGCTCCCAGCGACACCTGCATTTCCCTTCATCACCCTTCATCCAGAGCCAACAGGGCAGTAGAGCTCCCTCTGTCCCCCATCCTACTCCACCCCCACCTGTCTCACATATAAGGGTCCTTCTGGCTACACCGAGCCCACGCAGATACTGCACAATAATCTCCCTATCTCCAACCCAGTATAATCACGTTTACAAAAGCCCTCTGTCATGCAAAGGTATTTGCAGGCCTTAAAAGTTACAATGTGAGGACATGGGTATCATTTTTTTTTTTTGAGGGGGGGCATTTTCTGTCTTTCATATCTGCTCACCTGTTAAGCATTACTCTTTCTTCTCTTCCTTTCTCATTCTGCACTACAGTCATTCTGTACAGTGTGGGGTCCTCAAAAGACTCCTTAATCTCACCCCCAGGTCAGGAATCCACACTGGTGGTTCCAGAAACCTAGGACTCCTTCTCTCTTTGCACAGGGTGATTCTTTCTTCTGCTTCAAGACAGCTGAGGTACATTTTTTCCATGAAATCTTGCAGGTCACCCTGATGTCCCCTAATGTAACACTCTTTTAGTTCACATAGCTGAACTTCATCCTTTTAGGTAGTTACTGCAGTGTTCCATAACCTTCCTTTCTGGTGTTTCAGAGCTCTGGGAGGGGGACTGTCTTATTGATCTATATACAATGAAAAGAGAAGAAACTTCAATAGTTTGACCACCAAGCTTGTCATCATACCTAATCCCAGGCGCTGGGTAATGTTATTGTTTCCCATACAAGACAGGAGTGAAACGTTGTCATAAAGGGTGCATGATTTACTAAAAGAGGGACAGGCTAGCAAGGGGCAGAGTCAGAATCTGAGCCCTGTCTCTCTGATTCCACCCCCACTGCTCAAATTCTATCTGAAATCAGAAGAAAGGTGAAAGCATTCCTCACTTTTTTCTGGCTCACTTGGTCCAAATGCCTGGCAGTAAATCACACTCTAACAATTTCTTCTAAGGCTGCTGGGATAAAAAAGTAAAATAAAATATAAAACCAAAAAAAAAAAAAAAAAAACCCTGAAAACAAGATCATCTTCCTGAGAGAAGATACTTTGAATGTTGTTAGATCATGGTCATTTCAAAGGCCATAGAAGCCTGATTTGTATTCCGTCTCCAGGGAAAAAGTTACATTCTGTGGGCTTGTGAGACACACACCTGTGCTAAACCTAGCAAAGGATACAGTATGTAACACACTTCCATAGACCTACCACATTTTCCCCAAAGCACCAGGAATATTTAAACACAAGGAGAGAGTACCACAGACTTCCAGTTCTGAAGCAACTATGCATCAATTGATCATAGATGAGTCAGATGACAGGTTTCTGGCTATTTCTTGATTAGACTGGAATGTCCTTCCACTGTAGCCAGAGAGGATGCCACCTTTGTGTCTCCTACCTTCCCCATTGCCCCTCACTCTTGAGGGACACTGGAGATCTGCTGCCACCACCTCTTTTTGCCTGGCTGGTCCTTTGACCAAGTACTAGCTGTCTAAGCAGTTAAAGGATCTAGAACATTCTGATAAGAACAGATACTACACTTGATCTTAGCCAAAAGGCCGAGAAGCGATGAGTCCTTGAGTGATCAGCATTGCATGTCTCTATCTGTTTTCATGAGAAACCACTTTGAAGATATCAATATGTAATACAACAAGCATTGTTAATTTCCTACCACTTTGTTTGTAACTCTGTGTTGTCTGTACTGTTCTTTTGCTACTTTGTAAAAGGTTGTCTGTCTGTTAATGTTTTCCTCCTTTTATTTTTAAAATAAAAACAAACAGAAAACCAAAACATCTATTCAGAGGTGGTTTTCAATCCTGGCTGCTGTTAGAGGTAGTGAGGGGGTTTTGTAACTGAAACATGTCTTAGGTACATCTCAGTGGGTCTGGTTCAAGACAGCTGACAGTAGAGTCACAGACGCTAACCAGAGTTTCCAGAACTCCTGAGGTGATTTTGATGTGCACCCGGCATAAGAAGCATCATCAAAAATAGCAAGGAGGTAGCTTTCACTGCGACCAGAGTATGGTTATATCAGTACTGCTCACTGAATCAAAAGGAGATTTCTAGTTCAACTCGGATTTCTGCTTTGCTTTTCTGAAGCTGGAGGCTATAAATTTACTATCTTTACTAGCCCCACCTTCCCAGCACATACATACCCAGTGGTTCTCAGTCTCTGTAGAGTTGGAGAATCCTAGTTCTAATTTTTACCCTCTTCTTTTTTATATGGGGAAACCAAAGGTGCAAAAACTGCAAAGAGCTGATGTAAAATATCAGTCAGCACATGGGATTTCATCCAATGTAGCTTGAGACGTGATCTATCTCTCATTTCTCTGGGCTAGTCAAGGGAACAGAAAATTAAGCATAAATGCCTGGAGTCCACTACAAAATTAAGTAAAAATTAATAGAAATGTAAACAAAATGATGAAGTCAATAAAACTTAAGCAATATTAATGGGAGAAATTAAATTGTTTTACCAATACAAAAAATCCCTTTCCAACTTGAAACACTACAGAAACATAGTAATGACCTTTAAAGAGGAAAATTATTTTGACTTTGGCATATTTGACTTTTTGCTGTGCGACTTCCTCTTTTCACTACCTTTCTAACTCCTAATATTTAAACATACAAGCATACACATATAGATGCTGTAACTTCCCATGAAACCTGTTTTGTTTTACTTGACCTAGCACAAACACTTCACTCACATACCAAGGCTTCTGTTTTTTTGCTCGTTAACCTGAAAAAATAAAATCAGTATCAGTAGACATTTTGTGCCAGTGGAGTCACAGACGCCAACCTATGTATCTGGTGCTGTACTGAGTGATGGTTCATGAGAATAAGGTGAGCCCAAATCCTTATTTTTCCATAATTGTTACAACAAATTTATACAAGCTCTCTCTCTGTCTCTGTCTCTGTCTCTCTCTCATAAAGTTGAGCATTTTTAACAAGTTAATCAAGCCTTAGTTAACGAAATGCCTATTTTTGCTACATAAAATAAACATATGTTAAAATGAGATTTCCCAAGAATGAGAACAACTTAAGTCACTTTGCCTTCATTTTTTTGTTTTGTTTTGTGGTTTTTTGTACCAGGAATTGAACTTAGGACCTTGTGCTTGCCAGGTAGGTGCTGTGCTGCTGAGCTACATGCCTGACTGCCTTCATTTTTATATCTATACATAGGGATACTTATTTCTTTGCATTTCTAGGTCATTACTTTTTTCTCTGGTTTGACTGAATGGAGAATTTGAGGATCAGCTTCTTATACTGAATCACAATAGACAATCAAAACATGCCATCAAAATGCATATTTTGCCTACCTTGTGTCTATTTCATGGTCTACCATTCAATAGACCTGAAAAACTATTTTTCAATCAGTACTATAATATCATTCATTTTCATGATGCATCGTCCTCTAGTATTATGCCTATTGGACTTGATACAAACATGTTCTCTTATTAGTTATTTTTCTGTGTTCCACCTCGTGATTCATTGACATTTATGGAGATTTCTTCACACTATTCCAGTAGTCCCTGTTGATTTGTTCATTTCTTACATCATCATGAAGACACACCTTCACATACATATACATTTATAAAAAAATTTCCATTTTGTAGTCACATCCATTTTTTTGTCATTTTTATGATTCATTTATGCCTATGAAATTTACTCAAACTTCTTTTCATATAAATTTATATTTCATGTTATTTCTATACTCTTTATAGATGAAGGTTTTCTCTCTCTGTGATTAATTTACTTAGAAGTTGAATGAATGGATGGGAGATATAGCTCAGCCATATAGCGCCTGCCTGGCAAGCATGAGGTCCTGGTTTGATTCCTTATACCCACAAAACAAAACAAAACAAAGCAAAACAGAACAAAACAAAAAAGTATCAAAAAATAAGAAGTTGAATGAATGCATACCTGAATTTTCCTTGAACAGAACTTCAAGATATTATTAACAAATGATTATTTTTAAATTTGAATTTCTGCTGGGCATGGTGGTGCACAGCTGTAATCCCAGAATTTAGGAGGCTGAGGTAGGAGAATCACCATAAGTTCTAGGCCAGACAGGCCTTTGTAAGTGAGACCCTGTCTCAAAACAAACAAATAAACAAAAAAAAAATTAACTGTTACCCTTCCATACTAAAGTTTAAGCAATAAACCATCTTTTTCTGTTGTATTTTCCATCTTGTCTGTCAGCATGAGTGTTCAAATTGTTTGAAGTTTACAGTAAATGTGCTATATGAGAAAACAGACCCTCTTCCACAGATTTTTCACGAAAGTGTCTTGAATATTATATTATGTTTACTTTTTCCAGTGTACTTTAGGTCACTTTGCCAAATATTATAAAATCATACTAATTGTTGGGCTTGAACTATATTTGTTATAAATTAAGTTGGCACACATTATAATTTTCCCAGAATGGAATTAGCTTCCCCAGGAAAAATGGACTAGCGCTCCATTTATTTTCAAATCTTTATGTATTTTCAAACAATGTTCTTCTCCATTGGTCACTAGAGCTGTTTATTGATGTTGTTGCTCATATGCAGATAACACTTTAATGATATCAAAGAGAAAAGGTGCAGACACATTGGGAATAAAAATTAAACAATAAAGCTTATGTTATCCAAACTTCTTGAGGTTTCCTCCACAGCACACCTATCTTCATTACTGTTCCTTTTACTTGTAGACACTTGAAAATGATAAACATACACTTCTGAGAATATTAGAACCTCAAGAACTTTCATTGCATTTTGTAATCTAATCATCACAGCTAGTCTTACTAACCTTCAGTGACAATATTTTTCTTACCCAGGTCCTCTCCCTCTCTGCAGGCCCCTGAGTGTTTTCCAGTGGGTCCTAGCCTTCCTTGTGGCCCTGTGATGAGTCTGCTAGAAACTTTTCAGTAGCTTTACAACATCCACAATTTCTTGCCTCTCTCCCGCTTGGTCCTTGACAATAGCCTTGCTTTCTGCTTCTCGGCAGGGGACCTCACGATGTTTTGATAATAATTCAGCATGACTCGGACCTTGGCAGTGAAGGAAACACAGGCAGGAAATGAAAAAGATAATCATGATGCTTCTTGTCACTCTTCCCAACCTGACATGCCAACCACTGTCCATAGTATCCCCAGAAAGCCCAGCACTGCATTGCATCAGGCACTGCCATTCCCACCGGATTCTTGGTGCTCTTACTAGGAACAGACTTTACCTCCAGACCTGCCTTCCCTATTAACTATGCAGTAAGAAAACCTACTGCTCCTCTGCATAGCCAGAATCCATTTCCATGTACTACTCAGGTGTCATCTTTACCACTTACCAGGTGATGGTTTGTACCACTTGCCTTAGCAGATGGCTCCTCAAGTTCTTCCCCAGGTCTCTCCCAATATGTTTACCTTAACTAGAAAGTAAGGTGGTGGTGATTGATATCTTTTGTATATAAATTTTTTAAGTCATCTTCAATTCAAATCATGCTTATCTGTTTTTTTACAATTAGTTGCTCCTTAGATTGAGGAACATTTGGAGAAGAAAGTTGGAATTGCTGTCCTAAAAATATTCATTCAAAATACTGTACTTTTTAGCCTTCAGAAAAGGGTCACTAAAGCTATGATCTCTCCCTGTTAGAATTGGAAAGATGTTCTGCTAATTTGAGAGAAATTTCTCCTATGTGCTTCCTCAAAACTTTGAGTCTGAATAAGAGAGTCAAGTATTGCAAATGATACTGCTTTTAATCTTATAAACTTTGCCCAAGAAAACTTAAAATTTGGACTCATTATTGAGTGGCAGTGAATTTTTTGTTCCCTTTGATGTTCAAGTAATAAGGAAAGACTGCCGCATGATTTTTGAGGTAAGCATTTGTTTGTGCTTCCCTTATTTTATCACTTAATGGCAAAGATAGCGGGCTGGGGATTTAGCTCAGCAGCAAAGCACCTGCCTGGCAAGCACAAGGTCATGAGTTCAATTCCTGACCAGAAGAAAAACAAACAAACAAACCAAAAAAAAAAAAAATAGCAATGATGTCAATGCCAGTTACTTTAGAGACATGACAGAAGAGTGAAAATCATTTATTCATTGGTGTTAGACAAATCTGAATTCAGCCTTAAGCTCTATTGCTCACAGGTGAGCTGATATTAGGCCATGAACTTTCCAGACCTCTGCTGTCTCTACCTGAGGAAAGAGGCCACACAGGCAACTTTTATTCTCCTACCAACACCTGCTGATGGCAACTGGACCAGAACCCAAGTTTGTAGATTTCCAAAATACCCCTCACCTCCACCTCTGCTCCCAAGCTTCAGTCAGCATGGTTGACTTTCCAGAAGATTCTTGGTAGAGAAGGTGCACACCCCATCTCCACCCAGAGCAAGGAACACACACATGGACAAACAGGTCCCCAATCCCTTTCCATTCACACTTTTGCAGGGGCTGATTTCTCTTTATTTTTTCTTTGAGTCTCTCTTCTGTCCTGTCTCCTGGGTGGCCCTGCAACACCTCCTGTGCCGTGAAGGCTCTGTGTTCATTCCCCAGTACAGAAAAAAGAAAGTGGCATCTGTGAAGACCATGGCAAATGCCCCCAAAATGTTAAGTTAATGAGTGAGTTGATTCATGCCATAAGCATATTTCAAGGTGCTATGGACTTAATTATGTCCTCAAATTCACATATTGACCACCTCCAAGGTATTTGGAAGGTAATTAGGTTTGGACAAGGTGAAGAGGTTGGTGGGAATTCCTGTCCATGTAAGGACCCTTTCTCTCTTTCCTTCCCTCTCTCTCCCTTTCTGTACAATAACAGTGAGAGGGGAGCTAGCTGCAAGTCAGTAGGAGAGTCTTCACCACAACCCATTCATGCTGCCATCTTGATCTTGGGCTTCCAGCCTCTACAACTGGGAAAAAGCAATTCCTGTTATTTAAGCCACCCAGGCCTTTGCCATCTTGTTTCAGCAGTCAAGATAAATATATCCCAGGTCTCATGCATTTCACCACTGGACAATACTACCTCATAACTCCTTAGGGACCCATGACCTCACTTGAGCTGGTTGTCCCTTTCCACTCTGTTCAAGGACCCATGGACCATTCTTCTCTTCTGTTCTTCATGCCCTTGTGAATGAATCCTTCTGGGTTCTTGGCCTCTAATCTTGTTGGGGATGGCCCTGAGGTATCACTGGCAGAGGTCAGAGGACTGGAAGACTATGATCAGGTGCTTGTGGCTATTCTTTCCCTCCTCTGGTACCACAGTTGGGCAGCGGCAATCTCTGTCCCCAAGCCCAGCTCCTTCTAAGTGTCTCCTCCTCTGGCCCAGCTCCAACTTCCTGGGATCTGATTACTATTGTCCTCTCACCATCCCTTACAGCTGGAATTCCACCTGCATCTCCAGATGCATCAGGACTATAATACTTCCCTCTCTGGTATCAAGCAGTTTGGATTCAGAGCAATGGATCTTGGGAAAGTGCTTAAAACATTCTCACTCTCAGTTTTATCATCTTGTAAGTGAGGATGATGTAGGCAGGTTAAAATTCTTTATCCAAAAACTTTGGGTTGAGAAACGCTCCACAATCCAAAATATTTTCAAATTGTAGAAGTTTAATATATCAAAGTACATGCTTCTAATATTGTGAAATGTCCCAAAAGGGTCAAGGGAAGGATGCTGTAATAAAATTCATTACTATTTTTGCAGAGAGGCATGAATATTCATAAGATCAAACTAAATGAAAACTAAAAATAGTTTTCATGCTTTTTTTAGCCATATTTTCCTCCTGAATGAATTTTTTAAAATATCTTGGTTTTTATTTGTTTTCCAGTGTTATTTTGCAACCGTATTAGTAAGTCCATTTCAAACCAGACCTGCAGTGTTGGAAATGTAGTATTTCTTAACAGATGTCAGTCGCTCTTGTCCTGTTAACATAATGATAGCTATGACTATATGCTGTAACCAGTGCTCAAAGCTGTCCCATAAACTCTTGTTACTTGAGGCAAGAAGTGCTCTGCTGTATTGTTTAGTCTCCCAGTTGTGGGTGAGTGCACTAGCTCTCAGACAGTGTTATTTCCAAGCTGAGCTAGTTGATAAGTAAAGCTTAAATATGAGTTCAGTTCTTGTATTTTTAACTCTGTGCCCTTTTCCTACATATACCTATTCATTCAAATGGCAAGCAAGGTACCTAGTATAATCCCATCATATCCAGAGAGAAAAAGACACTCTGGAAAAATGTAGAAAGAAATGCAGTACACAGTGAGGGACAAATCGCAGGGCTTGGACTGGCTCCAGTGCCCAGAGGAGGTGTGGTGGGGCAGGGATCCACCAAGAGCCCTGAACATAGCCCTGAGCTCTGCAGATTTGGGTGAAGCAGTTTGCATGCATGCATTTCCTTTCCTGGGGGAAGGCACCTTTACCTCCATCCCATTTTTAAAAATACAGACAGAGGTTCAGACACACAAAAATGCCTGGGAACAGGGCTGTGGTAGCAGGCGTGACTGCTGTTCTAGGACGCTGACCCGGTGTGACGTTTTCTCCAGGTGGACATGAATGTGACAGTCTGCAGCTGCCCCAGGGCCATGTAATCAGATTATTCTGGCAGAGAGTATTTTAGTGCTAATTAGCATAGGAAATCTTCCAGGCTTCCAGGGTTGGGGCCTGCAAAGGATAAAAGGCCCAGGTCCTGGATGGTGCCCTCTGAAATGTTTAAATGGGTTAAAGAGGGAGCCTGTCCTGTCTGGTTGCTGTGATAATCAGATTAGGGAACAGAGCAGGAGGGAGAGAAGTGTCCAATATAAGCTGTGGTGTCTGGGGGGTTGAACTGGCAGCAGAGGTGACCTCCTGAAGGGGACATTCAGCAGAAGCTGAGCTCAGGCATTGATCCCAAGGGCCACTTAGAAGGCATGTTGGCCAGTGGCTTCTACATCAAGCACTCAGTGTGCTTGCATGAAAGCACAGGTCCCCAGGCCCTGTCCTGCCAGCTTCAGGTCAGCAGCCCTATGTTCGGCTGGGGTGGAGACTGGAACGTGTGCCCTAAACATGGTTCTGGGTGATTCTGAGGCACATAGTGCCCTCACCCCTGACCCCACTGAACACCGATATCTTGCTGCTGAGGAGACCTGTTTGAGACCAGACCAGGATTACAGGGTACACACAGTCCCAAGCCCTTTGCCAGTGTTGTATCTCATTTAATCTCCTTGAATTGTCCTGAATTAATGGTCTTGTTTGCCTTCATTTGACACATAAGGATTCTGAGGCTCTGAGAAAAACAAAGGAGCTGTCCACAGCCACACAACAAATATATAATGACCATGAGACACCATAGATGCTTCCCAGAACACCTGCTCCAGGGGGCAAATGGATGGGCTACTTCTTATCATAGCCTAGGAGTCAGCAGGGCCCCGCTCCCATAGAATGCTGATGTCATCTTGCAGCGTCCTGCACCTCAGCTGTGAAGCTCCACACACTGGTCATCTTCAAATCTGCCCCCTACCTTTTCTTTGAGGTATTGGAGACTGAACTCAGGACCTTCACACTGAGTTACATCCTCAAATCATTTCTTTTTAATTTTGAGACACAAGTTCTCCCTATGTCACTAAGTTGGCCATGCTAAAGTAGAATTTAGGATCCCACTATCTCAGCCTCCCAAGCTATAGGATTACAGGTGTGAGCTACCATGCCTAGCTGTCTTTTAATTCCTTGAAGGAACATGCACAGCACTCTCTCTCCAGCCCTTTGCCTAGCTCTTCTGAGTTCCTCGCCAGCCCTGCTCAGCTCTGCACACCACCGTCCCTTCTCATCTTCTCTTCTCCCATGGTCTCCACAGAGAAATCAGTGTCTGTGTGTGCGTGCCTCCCATAGAGACAGAAATACACACACCAAAAGGAACACATGAATTCCACATATATACAAATACACACAAACTGAAACGCACACCCATATACGCTAACATATGTGCAAATACACATACATAAACATACAGATGTCCTATAAGCAAACACAAATACACACATACAAATGCACACTGTCCCGGGTACAAACACATCCAACTACACACATGTA